TTCAATATCGGATATCTGAAGGTGGAGGTTACCATTGATCAAGGGGTGCATGTAACGAACCATTTACTATTTTTGAATGATCTCAAGCTTCTTGCTGCCGACGAAGGATATCATGAAAGTTATAAACGAAGAAATAGTAGGTTTACTGGTGAATCCAACGAAGTCAGCCTAATACTGAGGTATGTGGCGATAAGGCGATACTCTTGGAAGGAACTCAAGGGTATAAATACCTTGGCATATGGAGAACTGGACTAGCGCTCAACTCAAGAAAGCTACGATAAAGTGCGAGCAGAGATTTTGGCGAGAATTGAAGGACTAGCCAAAAGTGTACTAAATGACAAGAATTTTAAAAAGGCAGTAAATGAGTACGCCATATGATTAATAAATTATTAACTGGACTCAGAAGTCTTCAGAGCAATTGACCATGATATTAGACAGTTACTAAATAGGTAAGGAAGTCACAGTTAACCTGCATGTTTAGAAAAACTGTATTAGCCATAAAACGAGTTAGGATGCGGCCTTCACTGCGCTGAACAAAGAACTGAACTCATGCTTCTGAACTTCATAACGTACTTGTAGAAAGTGAGCCCATATCTATGGAAAAAACGGCAATTTTGAAGCAGAAAAGACTGAGTTACTCCGTTCGGAAAATCGTCGCTAACGACAACGTTGCAATCAGAGTCTACACGCGAATAGGAACTGCAATTAGAATAAGAGCGGATCGACCGGACATCCTGGTATACGATGAGAAGCGACACGAAGTACTCCTGATAGAGGTCGGCATCACTGGGCAGGACAGGTTGACAGCAGTCGAAACTGAGAAAAAGCGAAAATATGACCTACATGCTCATAAGCTTGGGTCAGAGATGAAATGCAGGACAAAAATAATTCCGTATTTATGGATAGTGATGAACTTCCATAAACTTACATGAAAGAAATCAGTATATCTGATTCACCTTAAGGCATATATCCAATCGATAATACTCAAAAAAACGCTCAAAAGCATCTCATCGATCAGTGTCGTGGATTCGACGAGGACGAAGCAGCAGAGATCAGCAGAGCAGAACTGACCACGGGAAGAGTGCAATGAGAATACCATAATACGATCCTGCGCCAAAATCAATAATGAAAAAAAGAAGAATAACCTCCGTGTGATATTGATTGATTATATATATGCATATATTTGTTAAAGATTGCTCGGCTCTGTCAAGTTGCCGAGCTGTTAAGTTGAAAGATCGCATTACAAAGCACGAGGGCGGGAAATGGAGGAAAAAAGAAAAAACCGAGCTTGGAATCATAAATGAAAACAAATGGAAAACAGGTGATATTGTTGAAAAAAGTTCCGTGAAGGACAAGGGAAAGCATTCGACTAGTTTACTGAAGCCAGCAGAACTAAGTGTCGGGTGAGTACAACAAGAGTGCCAGAACACGATCCAGTATGGGCGCCAAGAAAACAGAAAAAAAGATTAACCTTCGACCCGCTACACATGATTATAATGACAAATGATATTGAAATGCAATAATACTTGAAAGAAGAGAGATTTAGAACAAAATTTAATTAAAATGCATTCATTTTTTAAAGGATTCTGTTTCAAATCAGTTTGTTTGTCATATGACTTACAGTAAAGTAAAGAATGGCGGCGCCGAGAAGGAAGATTTCCATTAATGCCCATCCCCGAGCTTCGTGATATCTGCGGCGTTCTCGAAAAACCACAGGTATGAGTAGAATGCATATCATCGAGCATAACCCATTAAATAATACCAAAATACCGCGATCTTGCTCTGATGCATCGCGGCACAATGATGTATCGTTGTTGCAACATGTACGAGCATATACTCGTACGCCACCATGCATCGTCCATGTACACTGTAATATCAAATATTTACCAGATGTGATTTAAAAACTTGTCTATTGTAATTGCAATTTTTATAATTCCTTTAATAATTTTAATCGAAAAATTCTGTTTTGCAAATTTTGAATTTTAGTCGAACAATAAATAATTGCAAGTAATTAAATGTGTACTTTTTCAGTAAAAATTTTTTTCTTTTTTTTAAATAAATTTTTCTTTGCTTATTTATGCAGTAAATATTTTGCTTGAAAGTATTACCGTTACATAATCGTTTATCTTTGACGACTTTTATACTTTCATGTTTTACATAGTTTCGTTTTTTTTTTCATTATTGACAGTGTTATTATTGTCATGTATGAATAAACATAAAACAATGCTTAAAAATAATCATTTTTTCAAACAAATAAAACAATTCGTAAATTTTTGTAACATTCAGTTTAACATTGAACGATGAATGGAAGCTTTTACTTCTATCATGAAAAGAGATGAGACACATATATTGGCAGCAAAACTTGCAAAACTTATTAGATACAACTAAATATATTAAAACATTGAAGTAATTCATTTTAAACAAATGAATACATTAGCATTTTTTGCAAGAATCAAACAGGCTGAACTAAGTACTAATCATTCCATTTGCTAAATTGACTTAATCATTTAGAGCGAGAGTAAAATTTCATTTTTGAACAGAAATTGAGCAAAATTCTTTAAGTTTAATCATTCTTATATTCCAATTATGAACCTTTTTAATTCAAAAATAAGTTGACATAAACAATAAAATATGTGATTGTATCAAAAAGTGATTAAATAAATGACCAAAAAATATGTCCATATAGTATGTGATCACTTTATTTTGCTTTAGATTAAACTTAGTATGCAAAAATAAATATTTTTTGCTTCAAAGAAACTTTTGAAGGAAAATTTTAGGCAATTTTTATAACTGCTGCTTTGTTTTTTGCATATTACAAATTAATGGTTTGAGGCATTGAACCAGTACTGGCATGTATGTTTTCAATACATGTTCGCACAAGATAAATGTTAATGTGTTAAGATATATATACACATTTATGCTTTGAATAATTGCTTCATTAAAAAAAATTTATTTAAAAACGAAATATTCTATACATTCTTTTGTTGCTTTCATGAATTTGTCCGTTTTTTTTGATTGATGTTTCTGCTATAACTGAATTTGTGAAAGTTAAGACGAAAGTCATTCAGAAATGAATGCAATAATCCATTGAAAAAGTTTCCGTTGACTTTTCAAATATTTGTAGTTTCTAGATTTTATTTGAGTCTAAATGCTATCATCGATAATCAAATAGCTTGAATACTTGTTTAAAAAATAAAACAGAAATAGCCATTATCCTTAAACAGCAAGAATTATTGATGAAAACGCACAAAAACAAATAAAAAATATAAGCAATCTCCAGTACTTTTAATTTGCAAATATTCAAATAAAGAAAATAAGCAGGTTTGTATCTCAGAGATTTTACCACCAATACCGATGCAATGTGGTAAATTTTTCTAATGATTAAAAAATGTGCTTAGATTATCAGAATTCAATTCTTCTGTTAACTTTCTGATAATATATTAGTAAATAAAGTCAAAATCATAGCAGAGTGCAAAATTACACACTTCAGTTAAGTAGTCTAAGGTTAGAAATCAATTTAAGCTTGTAAGTATTGACTTAGTACAAGTGCTAGAATACATATATGCTTATGAAGTCCTTAAAAAAGTGAGCTTACTACTGAAATTTAAAAATTTCAAAAAAAATGTAAATTAAAGAATTTATTTTTTTGTTAGTTAATTAGTTGACTATTCAACCCATTCATTTACGAAAAATACTCCGAGAAAGCTTTAAAAAAACTGAAATGAAAATTACATAAAACGATGTAATTTGTTACTTTGAATAAGACTATAAATTTTATATGCTAAGATGCTTATCAATACGTAATTAAATAACATTTTCGCTGATCTGAACTGCATGAAAGTTTTATTAAAAAAAGCAACTTTCAACATCAAATAAGAATATTTTTGTACTAAATTTTTGTATTACTATTTTTGCAAGAACAAATTTGTGATTAAATATTGTCATAGTTTGTTAATTTAGTTATATAAAATATCAAATTCTACAAATATTTCAATTTACTCAATTAAATCTTTTCTGATATATTTATAAGTCATTTTTCCTAATATTTTTAATAGGTACTCACAGTTATGCCACTTATTACACTTGAAATTTCCAAGTACTACTTTATTTGATTGTTAATTAAACATTCTACACAAAATACATACCTATACTTAATTAATGATATATAACTTTGCAATTGAGAATTACTTATACTTTTCAGCATAAACTTCTTGCAAAACTGTTCCCCACTTTAATAAAAAAAGCATACTCTTAGCAATGCTTTCATTATTCAATCTGACCGGATGCTAAGCAATAAAAAAGGAACACTTTGTTCAGACTGTTGCTTCAGAAAGTCACAAAACAGCATGATTTTTCTTTCATATCTCATTAAAGCATTGTATTAGTATTCAGCTTAGCTTCTTTACATGCAGCCTAAAAAGTGAGTCAAAAGTGCTAAATTTTTAGGGAGCTATGAAAAAATAAAATATAAAATATAAAAAAGCACACTTTAAAATGTTTGAGTGCTTACCTTCTTTAACAACTCTTATGCATTCATTCACCACATTCACATTTTCATCGACAAAATTGACAAAATTTTAAATTTTACAAATTGCAATTAAGCAAATTTGTGCACTATTCCTCTATAAATCACAAAATTTTGCATTTTTAAAGTTGTTGACTTTTTGATTACTTCTCTTGTTTATTAACACGTAAATAAGCAATAAAATATGTCGAGAAAAGCACTCAAATAGATTTCATTTAAATCAGTCAAAAAGTAAGCGGAATAAAATATTGGTAAACAACTCATTTAATAGAATATTAATTCAAAACAAAATTCATGAAACGAAAATTCAAAATATAACTGAATTTTTTCAATTTATTTTTACCAAATTTCTTGACTTGTTTATTTTGAATTCTTATTAATAATTTTTCTAAATTTGTAGTTATAAGATCTTTTATTACATTGAATCATTATTATAAGTGATCCAATATTTTCCTAACTTGTTTTTGAAAAATAAAAACTTATCTGATTTTACTTAGTATTTATAAAAATATTTTAGTATCTTTTGGATTAACAATAAAAATACAAGGCTTTATAAATATAAATTACAATGTTTATCACCGCACTTTTATCAACTATTGCAATAAAAGACTACAAAAATTTGATAAAGTTTGTAAGATAAATTTTACTCGCGTAAAATATACATTTTTTACGTCAATTTCAAAATTCGTTACCTTTGCAAATCAAATACTAAAATATTTTATCTACTACAAAACTTTTAATATTTTTACTACTCACTAAAGTAGAACTGAAGATTGAAAATTCTAGCAGATTTCATGTTCTATTCAGTTGTAGAATTTTAATCATGAATCTATCATCCATTACTATTAAAGATTCATGTTGAAAGTTCTTATGATTATTACAGAAGGTTGATAATCCTTTACTTTCAATTTTAGTGATTATTCAAATAAAAATTAGTTTTAAAAAGAATATCAAATGTATACTAACTTTTGAACTGCTGCACTCTTGCATTGTACAAGCATTTAGGTCGAAAGATTCCATACGTAAAATTAAATACAAATTTGAAGTAGATGTTGGATAAATAAGCAATGGTATCCATTGATAGACGTAATTGTTATTGAGTAAATTGCAATGTAATTGTAAGCCAAACATTGATGTAGACACATTGTAGTTTAATGAAGAATCAACTTTTAAAGTAAAATTTGCAGGAAGCTGATATGTTTGCAAGCGTGGATTCTGAGCGATTAGTTGAGTTAATAATAACAAATATGGATTAGTTCGTTTTAATTCATATTCTAGAAGACGATGTAAATTTGGCAGTATAAGTAAACTTTCACACTGCCTATTTTCTGGATGCTCCAGCTGATTAAGTAAATTTGCAAAAGTAATCTCATGTGATATAATTTTTTGATTATTATCTGGTGAAGTTGTAACTGGAGTAGAACTGACTTTAATTAATACAACTAAAAGTTTACTCTCAAAGGCGGATAATATTATTACTGATGATAGTAATAGGAGTAACATAAATTAATTCTTTATGTTTTCGGTATCCTTCAAAGATAATGAAAAAACATGCACTGCTTCAAGTATTTATTCAGAAATTTATCCGTTTTCAAAACTAAATAAAGTTCATTTTTAGCAACAGCGATATAGTACAATAATAGTAATAATCATGAAATATTTTATTAATACTCAGTAACTTAATTTTTTGATACAGATAATAATTTTACAGATATTGACTAATAACAGCTGATAATAGAAGCAGTAATCCAAAACTGGATATTGAATATCTGAAAAATAATTAAGCATTTGAAAAGAAATAAATTAAATGATAC